TCTTTTAAGTTTTCATCCGACTGTGTATACGGATTTAAAAAAACATCAGATGACGATTCATCTCCGCCCATGTTGAAGTTTGTCATGTGTGGAGATGGTGTGTAGATCTCATTTGGAGGTATACAAGGTATCCCATCATCTTCAGAATCATCGTTGACCATGTCGTCAAACTCTAACTAGTCATCTTCCTCTTCTTCGTCAACGACATATACTTCTGCTTGTTCGTCTTTGAGAGGATCAACCACTTGTGGCTGAGTTGGTTGTGAGAGCTGAGGCTCCCGCGACACAATGTACAACTTAATAGAGTCGTACCCAGAATAATCATGACTGGAAAACATATTCTGAAGTTACTCATCATCTTGAAACTCAACCTTTAATATATTATTTGGTTCTCACAAAAAAAATTGGATTTTGATAGAAGATTTGTGTCACAGGACCTCGTCCAAGTTTGACCTCCAATCATTTTTTGAAATACAAGAAATTGGCTTTCCTGTTTAAACAAAATCGAATATTCTCAGTGTCTCTAAACAAAACCCCAGAGGTGGGAAAAATGTATGTCTCACTGTTGAAATGTGAACTGATAACATATTATAGTGTAGATGCCATTGTGTTTGAATGTTTGAGTGTTTGAGTGTTTGAGTGTTTGAGTGTTTAAGTGTTTGAGTGTTTAAGTGTCTGGTTGTTTGAATGTTTTAATGTTCGAGTGTTTGATTGATTACGTGTAGAAGCATTTTGATACATGTAGGATTAAATAGGTTGCAGTGAATTTGAATAATACAATAGTAAGCAACCACTAATTCCCCTCCCTACATGTCCAATCATATTACATGCATGCAGAAAAGCCTTCCCCAAGATTGCACCTAGTCTGCACCTATGTTGCAACCTATGCCACCTCTAATTCACCAATTGGGATGGCGACACCTTTCAATTTTGTACTCATTCTCCAAGTTAAATTGCGTCTCTCTACATGTCCAATCATATTACATGCATGCAGAAAATCCTTTTCCAAGACTGCACCTAGTTTGCACCTACGCTGCAACCTATGCCACCTCTAATTCGCCAATTGGGATGGAGACACCTTTCAATTTTATACTCATTCTCCAAGTCAAATGGAGCCTCCCTACATGTCCAATCATATTACATGCATGCAAAAAAGATTTCCCCAAGACTGCACCTAGTTTGCACCTACCCTACAACCTATGCCACCTATAATTCACCAATTGGGATGGTAACACCTTTCAATTTTGTACTCATTATCTAAGTCAAATGGCGCCTCCCTACATGTCCAATCATATTACATGCATAAAGAAAAGCCTTCCCTAAGACTGTACCTAGTATGCACCTACGCTGCAACCTATGCCACCTCTAATTCGCCAATTAGGATGGCGACACCTTTCAATTTTGTACTCATTCTCTAAGTCAAATGGAGCCACCCTACAAGTCCAATCATATTACATACATGCAGAAAAGCCTTCCCCAAGACTGCACCTAGCCTGCACCTACGTTGCAACCTATGCCACCACTAGCATGCACCTAGGCTTCCACTTATGCTACAACTAGGCATGTTTCATGCCAAGTTGAATGGTTCATGCTCTCTAAATTGCATGTAGGCACCATTTAACTTTACGCATGAGTGACACGTATCATGCATGCATGCAACCACTAACCACCTCATTTATTCACTCTGTGATAAAATTTCTCCTATAAATACAGCGTCTCACATACTTATTTTGCATCAACAATCATCTCACTCTCTGATAAAAACTCTTTCATTGTCTTATACAATTTCAACTATGGCTTTTCTCACAATGGCGATTCTCAGAGGCACAAGGGACAATATTGCGGTGTTTGTAAGTTTTTATAAATTCTCAAATATTCTTGTATACTAATATATTTTTTATAATATTATTATTGATTTAGTCATCTTATGGACTCTTACACTTTTTACATTTTGAATTTAGGATACCAAAAGATTCAAAATTCGCTCACATAACTACATTGCTCCTGACCCGTTGATCGAGCCCTATCTCGAATATGCGGGTTTTGGAAATGTTATAAAAATCTCCAACTGCACGATTGATTCAAAGTTTATACTTGCAATGTTGGAATGGTGGAGACCCGACACACACATTTCATCTACCAATAGGTGAATGTACCGTCCCACTAGAGGATGTGTACATGTTGTTGGGTCTCCCTATTGACGGTAAGGTGGTTAACAGGTCGGTTCAACAGCCCAATTTTCTATGCGAGGAATTGTTGGGCAAAGATATGGTTGAAGGTGGTGGTGCTAGAGGCCAAGGTATATTACTTACTGAACTCAAAAAACATTATGTGACTCTAAAGTTGATCGAAAATTCTTCCCGAGATAGCAAGAGTAATAAAATAAACTATTTTGCAATTCCTTTAGGTACTGCATGACGGGTATGGATTACGGAAAGAATCCAAGATTCAATGTCGCTCTATATCGTAATCTATTGGATCACCTTGGCCCGGATGATGTATGTCGTACCTTTGAACTTTTATACTTTTAAATTATTTATGTATTACGTTTTCATTATGCTGATTTAATTTTATCATAGTTTATCTAGAGACCATATTTGGGTTTAGACCATGAACCAAACCCCGAGGATGCAACAGTTTAGACTGTAAAGAGTGCAATTATACGGTTCAACATTGTGGAGATGCACCACAACGACCGTGTCAAGATGCAGTTCGAAATGCATCAAGAGATACCCTGCGATCTAACTTGTTTGTCCCCCTAGCATCTCAAAAGGGTCGATGCTCAATAGGGTCTTACTAATTGGAAATGTTCTGCTCTAGAATGGTGTAAGATGTGGCATATGCATCACTAACATGTCTTGTAATTCCCTGTTTTCCCCAACCGGATTAATATGCGACACACAAATCAATATTTTGCTTGGTATAGATCGGTTAGTAACCCAGAAATGCACGTGTCTCACCCGAGGTATTTGGTTGACCCACGAACACAATGGAAAAAACCCTCAAATCCCCAACAACAAACCCAACACACATCAACCTCCCACCAACTACCCCGACGATACATGTCCACAACCACCCAACCACAATCACTACCACAATACGAATACACCCATATGCCCCAAACCCAACCACAATCACCACCTCAATACCAATAACCCCATATGTCCCACACCCAACCACAATCTCAATCACAATACCAATACATCCGCATGCCCCACACATAATTTCAGTCTTCTCCATATCCCAATGTCGGCCCCTCAACATCTAACCTTAGCCCTGATCTGAGATTTTCCGAAGAATATAACCCAACCGACCCACCTTACCATCAACCACCACATCACCATAGCATTCAACAGTCGCAGTACCAAACACCCCAAGGTTCATTTCCTTTTTACCCCCTTACTTAGACGACCAGTGCTATAGACCATCCATGGAACCCCATCCACCATCAAGACAACCAAAATTTGAGGGCATGGGTAACTGACTGTACCAAAGAGGATCTTCCAGATATGGTGATCTGACCGATTTCATGGATCCTGAACGAATTGACTTCGTTGGGCCATCGACCCTGCCACAACAGGAAATACGACGAAACCCACCACGAGACATGCGAGGACGTGGATGCGGAACCACTGGTCGTTACCAAGTTCCGGAGGACCACTAATTATTTTGTATGGTTTTTTTTCATTATGTAATCGTTTTTTGTAAATGAAAAGTCGAATTTTCGTGAAGCTATATCATTTACCTATTGTCTCGCATTTAAAATAAAAAACAAAAAAAAACCGCACATCTATTGCACCTAGGCGCCATCTCAGATGGCTTAGGGGAACAATTTAGGACCTAGGCGCAAGGTGAGATGGCGCCTCCTCTTTAGTTTTAGGTGCATGCACCGACTGGGTTGGCTCCTCATTTGCGGAATTTTCTAAAATATAGTTATTTGCGTAATTTTCCCCCGAAATATAGTTATTTGTATTTTTTTTTAATACCTAATTATTACAAAAAAATAAATTCAATATTTATGATTTGGTTTTCACTAGTGATTAGAGGATAACTACTTTCAAATTAGGCAAATAATAAAGGTTATCCAATGATTAACCGACAAGTTTTCAGCACAAAAAATAACTTTATTAAGGACCTTTCAAATTGTCTAAATCATAGAATGTCATTTCGAAATCAAACTTAAGGGTTAAGGCCACCTTCTTCTCTTGGCCTAAACCAAAAAAAAACCCTCACACAAATCTAAAATTGTCTCCTCTCGAGAGACAATGCCCAACCAATGTTAAAATTACATAAGCTGCACCAAACAATATATATGGGCTTAAGTAACAAATAAGGAGTGAATTATGGTAACAAAGCCAACAATATAAAAACTAACTAATAACAATTAATATGTTAGTTATTTTTATGAGTTTAATAAAGCTCGTTACTTTATCTTGTTTAAGTTCTAGTTGATCAAAAATATTCTTTCTTTTTTGTCTCAAATTTATCTCGCAGTTTTTGTAAGCGAGTTTGAGTATCCTTAATACCCGTCTTAATCGGATTACTTGTTTATTAAAAAAAAAAACAAAAAAAAGTACTAATCATATTAATTATAATATTTTTATTATTAATCATTGATTTACATAAACTTGAGTTTGAATTGGACTTTCTCACTTTGCTTACTTAAGGTAGGCATGTGAGATTAGGCATTAAACTACATATGGAGTTAAAATTTGATTATATATTTTGTGTTGCTGCTATTATGTTTTCTTGTTAAATATTTTATTTCTGTCATGGATTATATTAAAAATAAGCATCTTTAAATTATTTTTTAATTAATATAGTTGAACACATTGTGATTTCTACACATGAATTTCTTCTATACAACAAAGATTAGTATTGTCTTTGTTACTCAACTATTCCATTGAAGCATAGAAAAAACCTAAAGCTTCATACTGGAATTAGAAAACTATTAATAAAATTAATAAATAAAATATAAAAAAAGTACATGAGATACATACCTTGAACTTGCAAATTCATAAAGTCTTCCTCTTGGTGAGAAAACAATAAGAGCAACTTCAACATCACACAAAATTGATAACTCAAAAGCTTTCTTCATCAAACCATTTCTTCTCTTTGAAAATCTTACTTGTCTACTTGTTGCGTTCTCTATACGCTTCATCTCTGTCTTCCCTCTCACCATCTTAATTTGCTGAAATCACAACAACAGCAGCAAAAAGTGGAATGAAAATTATAGAAAGAAAAGGGGAAGAAAATATTAGCTTTTAAGATCTAGAAAAGCTGTAGGAGATGAAAAAATTGTCAAGAGATTTATTAGAGTTACTTACCAACCAATCAAACCAAATCTTAAGGTTGAATTGAATTGAGAGAAGCAAAAAAATGGGAAGTTGTATGAAAAAAGTGAGATAATTGTCAAAGTATTTTGATGAGAAAATTAAATGGTGTAAAATAGATTCCTAGGAAAAGGGTCTATATAAACACCTAGGTTAAAGATTTATTTGTCATTTCAAAGAAGTGATTTTTCTCAACTTACCAGCAAGAAAAGCAACTTCAATAGGGAACAGATATGCACCAAATATTGAGAAAATGAAGGAGAGAAGAGATAGGAATAAAGGGTTGAGTCTAAAAAAGGAAAATAAGGTTTAAAATGAATAAGAGCAAAGGAATCAAAAGAAAGAAGAAACTATGCATCCCCAAAAGTAGTAATACATATAAATGAGACTTGATTTGGATTTTACATTCTTTCTTGCTAAAGTCAAAAGAAAAAGTGAAAAAATATGTACGTTGATGTGTAAAGAAAGGACCGATATAGGTTTTATTTTATAGTGCACGATTATTAATTTGTTATTGCAAAAAGGACAGATATAGGTAGTGTGTAATTAATGTATTCATGACATATAAATCATGCATTGTACTACAAAATAACTTGTGTTTTGCCACGTGAATGTCACGTCGCTAACACTCAAATCACGTCACTATTTAATTTTTGTCACCTTAAGAAACACGTCGTTGTAGAGCGCGTGGCAATTTTGTTGCGGCGTGAAAAGCATGTCACAACGTTGCCACGTGAAATTCACGCCGCAACAGACTTTATAGGATCAAAGCAGTTCAGAGCAGAGCAGAGCTGAGGGTCAGAGCAGTTTATATTTATTTTTACGTTTGCTGTTGCGGCGTGTTTTTCACGTCACTAATTAGTGACATGAAAAACACGCCGCAACTTGTTTTTAAAAAAAAAAAATTTTGTGTTTTAAATATATTAATTCTGTTATAATAATTAATATTATTTTTTATTTTATTAAATTTATAAATTAAATATTATAATTTATTTATTAAATACAATATTATAAATCAAATTATCAAAAACAAAATTAAATATATCTAAATGTATAAATAAATATATTTAATATTATAAATTTAATAAACTCAAATTTAAATTTATAATATTTTTAAATATACAATATGATTATAAATTTATATTACGCAAATAAAAAACTAAATACAAAATAAAAATAAAACTAAGCAGAATCATTCGAGTCGTTGGAAAAGTCGCGAAGAAAGTCATCATTATTTTGGTGGTTATTATTTTGGCCACCACTGTTGAGTTTTCTACCAAATGCTTGCATAAATTGTCGCATTTGCTCCTCCATATCAACCTGCCTCTTCTCCATTGCCTCAATTTGACTATTATGTTCACCCCTCATTGCCTCCATTTGGACCTCCATTTGGGCCTTCAATGCCGCCTCACGATCTTCGGACTCGCGTCTAGCCAATTGTCTTACCAGTTCTAACTGATCTGGTGTCAAATTTGTTTGACGTGACCCTCCTTCACCGTTTGCAGCTCTCTGATACAGATTTCTATCTCCACTCCTCAAGGTGCCCGCCAAATTTCCACCACCAAAAAAACACTCGTTAGGCCCCTTTCCCCCAACAACTTGACTCTAAATATAGAAATCCACATCTGGATGAACCGGTTTTCCCGGAGGAGGAGGAGTATACTGAGGATTATGGGTCAGAAATTCTACAAGCAAGGCCTGATAATCCTCCTACACATACAATAAAAAAATCAAGTTAAATTTATAAGTAAAATTAATGAAATTAAATGAAATAAAAAAAATAATAAAAAACAAATAGCCACGTGATTGTAACGCCACAACTTATCAGTTGCCACTCAATTTTCACGCCACAACATATCACTTGCTACATGAAAATCACATCACAAAATTGTTTTAAAAAAATATATAAACATAAATTTACTTACCAGGGCTTTTTTTGTACGCTCGTCAATAAATCCTCCTGATTTCTTTGTTCGAGTTTCCTTAACCAGCTCAGTCATCAATGGTTGTCTCCCCAAACTCTTAGCCTAAATAAAAAAATTAACTTAAATTAATAATATGTTATAAATCCAAATATGACTTTAAAAAGTGGTAATAATTACCATGCGTCGAGCATGCTCAGCAGTACTAATACTTCCAACAGTATTAAGGCAACCCCCTTTTTCCGATTCCCTCATCTTCTTTACAGTTTCAGATTTAGCCTTAAATTCATCTGATTCCCAATACTTAAGAAGTTGTTCAAAAACTTCTTTGCCTATCCATTTGGGACGAATGCCCAAAAGTTGCCAATTCTCTCTAACACGTCGTAGCATGTCAGAAAGTCGTCTTGAACTCCTGCCACAATAATTTTTTTTTACTTTGTTATGGTTTAGGGGATCCCAAACACATTTCGCCTGCAATGTTGTATGACATTAAAATAAATAGTTAGATAAATTATAACAATAATGAAAAGGTCATTTAAATAAAAATAACTTAAGAAATAAATTAATTATACCTGAAATTGCTTAAACCATTCTTCTTTATCGGAAACTTCTCTAAAACTCTTCAAAAAATTTGTATAATTCTGTTGAATTATATAGTTTATAACCTTAGCAGCAGTCCGGCTCGGCCCGAAACTAAAACAACAATAATTGAATTAGCATAATTAATTATATAAAGTTATATTAAAAATGGAAATGTGTACTTATAAATAAAAATTAATAAATAAGAAACTTACGAGATCCCTTCAGGCCAAATCCAAAATCTCCCATCAATGGTATGAATCTCACTCGGATCATCATCCCCTCGAAGATCTCTCCCATCTATCTGATCATCATCCACACCAAGATCGTCATCATCCGACTCTGCATGATCATCAGATGCAGGTACATGTGTGGGATGTGGGGTGCGAACTTGTAGTGTGTTCATCTGGAATCACATCATTAACTTCAACTTCATCAACTTGGTAAGCAACATCCTCCACTAGATCATCAGTTTCAATATGACCCAATGGTTTTGTTTTTATTACAACACAACACCGTCGTTTACGTGGCACAAATGAAGGATAAGGAACATAATAAACTTGCCTAACAATATTTAACATTATGAAAGGGTCGTACTCTTTGTACCTCCGGTCCATTTGAATCTCAACAGTACCATATATCTTATCTATTTTTGTGCCTCTAGTTGGATCATACCATTCACAATAAAACAAGACAACTTTATTTTCCGAGTCCAAGTAATTGTATACTAACTCAAAGATATGTTTAACAAAACCATAGAAGTCATCTTCACCACCATCTGTAACTCCTTTCACAAATACGCCATTGTTTATGGTTTTTTTCCCTTCAGTCCATTCATGAGTGTGAAATTTATATCCGTTCACGAAGTATGTGTGCCATTTGTTTTCACTTTGACGAGGGCCATTAGACAAGTTTCTCAAATGGAGTATTTCTGGAGTCGGTGCAACAACCCTATACAATTTCTCCTTGAACCATGTTGGAAATTGGGCATGAATGACACCAGATGTTAATTGTACACCGGTACTATCAAAATAGGCGTTGTTAAATTCCCTAAAAAGAAACACACTATAAGTTTCAAGGTAATCAATTTTACATTCACACTGTAAAGAAAATTAAGAAGTTGGATTATACTTACTCAAGATATGGTTTAACTTCAATGCAGTTGATCAAGACATGAACATGTGCAGATTGCATTTCTTGTTGGGTCAACCAATGCTCACCCTTATTTCCAGAGGGACGACCTGGAAGCCCGAAGACTGATAAGGTGTACTGACTTCTTTCGATAACATTTACAGGATTCCTTATGATTCTTGGAGTTAACATCAAGTGCTTGAAATAGTGACTGCAAAAATGTGAAGTTTCTTGATGCAAGTAATGTGCACATATTGATCCTTCAACTCTAGCTTTATTTTTCACTGATCGCTTTGAATCACCCATGAACCTTTCAAACGGATACATCCACCTATATTAAACAGGTCATCCTAGATAAGCGTCATATGCAAGATGCACAGGTAGATGTTCCATGGAGTCAAAAAAACCAGGCCGAAATACTTGTTCCAACTTACAGAGAATGACTGGAATATTTTGGTCCAACTTAATGATGTCATCTACTCTTAAAGCTGACGCACAAATATCTCTAAAAAATTGACTAATTTCAGTGTATGGATTAAGCACATGTTTGGGTAGAGAACCGAACGCAATTGGTAGCAATTGTTCCATAAAAACATGGCAATCATGACTTTTCATACCATGCAACTTCCCAGTGTTAGCATCAGCACACCTTTCTAAATTTGAAGAATACCCGTCGGGCATTCTCAAACCTTTTAGCCATCCACAAACCGCTTTAGCTTCTTGGGGGATCAGACTGAAACAAGCTTTGGGTTTAAATAATTTTCCATTTGGTTGAGGCTTCAATTCCAACTCTTTACGATTACACCAAATTTCCATGTCTTGTCTAGCCTTCACATTATCTTTTGTCCTGTCTTTAATATCCACCACTGTGTTAAATACATTATCAAAAAAATTCTTCTCAATATGCATAACATCAAGATTATGGCGCAACAAATTATCTTTCCAATACGGGAGGTCCCAAAATATACTTCTTTTTGTCCAATTATGTGTGACCCCATATCCTTCAATTCTACATGCTTTGCCAGTATCTGTAAACTTTGGAAGTTCACAAACTTGGTTCCATATAGCAACTGGTGCCAATCGAGGCGGAGGTAGATATGTTACCCGTTCGTCCTTTTTGAAATTTGTCTTGTTTTTTCTAAAGGGATGATTTGATGGTAGGAATCTGCGGTGACGGTCAAACCACGAGCTTTTCCCCCCTTTTCCAATGTAAACGCCTTAGTGCATTCCATGCAATGCGGACAACCCATCCTGCCATGCGTACCCCAACCAGATAACATGCCATATGCTGGAAAGTCGTTAATGGTCCACATCAAGGCAGCTCGCATAGAAAAGTTTTGTTTACGGGATATATCATAAGTCCGTTCTCCATTATTCCACAACCTCTTCAAATCATCAATTAAAGATTGTAATCTTCAAATCATCAATTAAAGGTTGTAAGTACACATCAATTCCGGTTTTTGGACTCGACGGTCCTGGAATGACGCACGTCAAAAACATGTATGGTTTTGTCATGCACATCTCAGGAGGGAGATTGTAAGGGGTTACAATAACTGGCCAACAAGAATACGCACTTTCGGACGCTTGGACATATGGAGCAAAACCATCAGAGCATAATCCAAGCCTGACATTTCTAGGTTCCGCGGCAAAATCAGGATGTACCTCATCAAAGTGCTTCCATGCATGGCCGTCAGATGGGTGTCGCATATTGCCTGGGCTTGTTTTGTTTGTATGATGCCATGTCATTTGACTTGCACTATGCATTGAAGAAAACATTATTTTTAACCTTGGTATTATCGGAAGATAAAACATGGACTTTACTGCTACACGTTTTTGGTTATTATTAATGGCTCTATTGCGAACTTTATATCTTGGACTATGACAAAACTTACATTCCTCTGACGATCCATCTTGAGTACCAAAATCGTTGTCATAAAACAACATACAACCATTAATGCAACAATCAATCTTTCTTACTCTTAAACCCAACTTCGACACCAACTTCTTTGCATCATAGAAACTCGCATGCAAGTTGTCTTCCGTTGCAGTTGAGTCCAACATCATTTTTGTGAAGTGCTCCAAACACTGATCAGGAACATTCCAATTTGACTTGGCGGCCAATAATCTCACACACATTGATAGCTTTGAGTCTGACGACCCCTCAAACAACGGCGTATTCATCTCATTCAACAACTGATAAAATCTTTGCGCTTCCTCATTCGACAACTCTTCCCCGTCAAAGTCTTCAGGTTGATCATAGGTCACGTTAACACCAAAAGCATCACCAACCATGTCACCTATCAGATTAAAGTTTTCTTCAAATTCCATAGGTGGTTGTATAGCCGGTTGACTACTTGAAGCATCTATGTTGCTAGTCTCTGGTACATTACTCGGCAGTGTTTCACCATGATACGTCCAAACCCAATAATTTTCAATGAAACCTTTCCTATGCAAATGACGTGTTATTTCCTCTGGGTCACTAATTATATATCTACATCCACATTTAAGACAAGAACACCTAACTCCTCCTTCACTTCGACAATGTTCCTGAGCAAACGTCCACGCGATAAAACCATTAACCCCGTCTATAAAATTGGGTTTAAGTGCGCGTCTTCCTGGATATAGTCTATCGTACATCCAACTACGATAATACCTATAATATTCCATTTACTGCAAATTTATATAATCAAAACCTATTTAATTAGAAATATTAATTAATCAGCTTAATAATAATCCTAAACATATACAATTAAAGATAAATATATGCTTTCAAAAAACATTTCATACTTTTTCTAATTCTAACTTATTAAACAAAAAAATTTAATTTAAACACTTAAAATTTATAAACTCCTAAAAATATTTATTTATTTTTAAACACTTAAAATTTAATTTAAACACTTAAATTTTATAAACTCCTAAAAATTTAAAAACTTAAACTCCTAAAAATTTAATTTAAACACTTAAAATTTATAAACTCCTAAAAATATTTATTTATTTTTAAACACTTAAAATTTAATTTAAACACCTAAATTTTATAAACTACTAAAAATTTAAAAACTTAAACTCCTAAAAATTTAATTTAAACACTTAAAATTTATAAACTCCTAAAAATATTTATTTATTTTTAAACACTTAAAATTTAATTTAAACACCTAAATTTTATAAACTCCTAAAAATTTAAAAACTTATTAAACTCCTAAAAATTTAATTTAAACACTTAAAATTTTTAAACTCCTAAAAATATTTATTTATTTTTAAACACTTAAAATTTAATTTAAACACCTAAATTTTAAACTCCTAAAAATTTAAAAACTTAAACTCCTAAAACAATTAAACTTTTATAACTGTTATTCATCACAAATTAATAATTAATAATTATTATAAACTAAATAATTAAACCTAAAATTTAACCCAAATTCAGAAAATATAACTCAAACTCAACCTAAAATTTTAACCCAATGCAAATTCAACCTAAAAATTAATCAAATTCAGAAAATATACTAAATTCAAAAAAAAAATCAAGAAATACCTTTTATCTTGTAACTCCTTCAATCTTCTTGTCCCTTTTTGCAATCTACTTCTATCAATCTTCTTCTATTCAAAGAAAAATTGAAAAAAAATTATATTCAATAATAACACATAAAAAGCTGTTAACAAAATATAAACAAAATTGAATTGAAATTACCTTAAAACAATAATGTATGGAGATTGTAGGAATTTAATTTTGGAGAAGAACAAATTTTGGAGAAAAAAATGGTTATGGAGGGATATGGAAGGAGGAGGGTTGAAGAAGAAGTTGAAACAAACTATTAACGCTACTGTGTTTGTGGAGCGTTTTTGAGAAGTACATAAAGCATGTAGCGACGTGAAAATCACGCCGCAACGTTGCCACGTGATTTTCACGTCGCAACAATCCAACAACTCTTTTCTCTTTCTTCAAAACCTGAACACGTCAGTGTTGGAAATTGTGATTAAATTATTTTTTATGATATTTTTATTAGCGACGTGCAGCCCACGTCGCAACATTTTTTAAAACAAAAAAAAATGACAAACTAAATGCTTCTTTATTATATTAATAAAACATGTTGCCACATGATTTTCACGTCGCAACTGGCTTTATTTAGCTACATGAAAATCACGTGGCA